AAGTTCTCTTTAAACTTAAATCATGCCAAGAGTAACCCAAAGTATTAAATATAAAAAACCATTCCTACTACCCAGGGATGCAGAAGCCCAAAAGGACTCCGGCTATATATCTCTACTTTTTCCAAATCTATAGTGTTTAGAAGCTCTAAATATTTAATATTTTGTTATTACCTTTTAAACCTGAATCATAAAGTTTTCCCAAAGCACTTTTCTCATTATTCAAAATTAGCGCCCAAGAATGACCAATCAGTTTGTGACATAATGGTGTTATACTGATCAATGTTCCAGGTAAATTTATTTTTGTAACAGGTGGAAACTCCTTGAATAGGAATAAATAAAAATCTGTACAGTAGAAATATACAAATATAATTATATTGATCCACATGATTTTTTCTTTTTGAGGAAAATACTCAAAGAATTATTGAGGGCACCAATTTGAGCTTTTGAAATGTTGCATGATATTAAAGAGGCAATTGTGCAATAATTAAATCCCTGTTTGATTTTTTGTGCAATAGTTCTTGTGCAATCTTTTGTGCAATAGCTATGTAACCTGTTGTTGCTGTTACTCGTTTTACATTAAGGTAGACCCATTTTATACCTGTTTTTTTAATATCTCTGTAATGAAATCTTTGCTTGCTTCAGAAAGCTATTTGAAGCACTGAAAGAAGACTCAGACCAATCAAAAACACCAGCTTTCACATGTACAACAGTTTTCATGAAATGGTCAAATATACCTTGTAAAGCATGAAGAACCTATAAGAATATCAGTAATTTCTAAATGTAATAATTTTTAATATCAAGTATGTTCACATATTAAAAAGAGGAGATACATGAAAACAATCCAACTTTGCATTCACTGTATCCGATGATACAGTGAACGCAGAAACAGTCAACACATTTTGTCAAAGTTGCTACAGTGGCTTATCCTTGGATGGGTTACTTTGTGTGAGCCGATAAGCTCGCATTGCAACTTATTATAACTAACTAATAATGGGTAATTCCATTTGAAATCATCAAAAAAAAAAACATTTTTGACACCCTTATGTCTCAGAATTTGTACATTTTTACCTCACTTGCAGTCCATATTATTAAAAAATTAATACTGCAAAAATTTAGTTAAAAATACACATGATTTCCAGACATACCGTCAGTTCAAATAATGCTGAATCAGCATTTTAGTGATTAACTGAAGCAACTACAAAGCAATTTTGACATTGTATCATCATAATGGCTTGGGGAAATTTCCTAAAATTTGGTATCCCAATAGATTTTTACTTGCGGAATTTAAAAAGAGCACCCTCAAGATTTGATTGTCTCAGGGTATGCCTCGTTTATCCAATTTTGTACAAAATTATTGACTTGTAAATTCATGATTTTTGGAGGTACAATGAAGGCTGTGACCCTAAATCCTGAATAAAAAATTTAATTTTTTTGTTTTTTTAAATTTATCTCCTCAAGGCCGAGAAGGCCACTACAGACGAGGAGGCTACTTATTTGTGGTAACAACCCTCTCTCAACTCTATAACTCCGAAACACGAACCTTGAGGAACAAGGCCGCTGCGCGGAGAAACAAGTTGAGCGCGGTATTACCAGGGACGTTGTGGGAATTGTGTATCGCGTTACTATCAGATATGTGATGGGAATTGTATATCATTATTTTATCTTAGTCTACTGAAAAAAATTAGACTCATCAATTGTCTCTCTTATACTTGATCAAAATTTGCATTTAAAAATTGTGTCTTTTTAGAAAAATTTTGTAACGAAAGCAATTGAAATGTTTTTAAAAATATTTATTTGGTGTTATTTATTGACTAGTTTAGGGCGTTTATAGTTGTAGACCAATGAAAGGCCAGAGGGCCTCTGACCAACTCTGCACCTCCCCCCTCCAATCTCCCTAGGGTTTTTTTTTTTTTTTTTTATGCATTAAATGGTATAATAATAAATAATTATTAAAATTCAATTTAAAAACATAGTTTTTTTTTTCATTTAAAGTTTGAGAAATTATTTATTTTTATTATTTCAATTCAAATCGGTGAATGCTTACCTCTTATTATATCAAAAATAATCAAAAGTTTTATTTTGTTCTTTTTAAAGGTTGTACTTTACTTGTTTGTATTTTCTGGGATCGTGAATTTTATTGTTTTTGTATTTTTTTGGCAGGTAATATTTTAATAATATAATATTATAATATATTTATAATAATATTATAAATATATTATAAAAACATATTTAATATGGAGAAATGTGACATTAGAAAAAGTCTTGACATTCATTGCCACAAAACTGGATTTCCTAGAAAACAAGGTTTTGTTCAATTCAAAGATCTTTCTTGTGAAATACAAGAACAAATAATATGGCAAATAAATATAAAAAAATAAATTTAAAGGAGAAATATTGTTTAATAAGTATTATATGTTGTTATCATGAGTAATTCTATGGAAAATACTTTGAGAGAAAAATTACAAAGTGTTGCAATCCTTTTGGAACACTCAAGGAAAGTAAAAAATTGCTATAAAAGGTAGTCTAACATTAAATACAACAGAATTGGTATGAAAGTTAAAAGAAAAATATTTAATATTTTCAAAAATTTTAAATTTTCAGGTATTTTAAAAACTTAAAACTAAATTTGTTTCTTAGGTAATATAAAGATTTCCCTAGACTTGGCGAAATTTTTGCAACAAAACAATGTTTATGTAACCCCAGGTTGGAAGTTCTGCAGGAAATGTTACAAAATAGCAGTAAAAACAGATTTTTTGATTCCCATTCACAGGATGAATGGGAATCAAAAAGTTAGAAAAAAGATATTTAGGTAGAAGAACAGTTCCTGGCACAAGGACTTATCATCATTTTATTCCAATTTCTTCAAACTTTATAAGTTATAAAAAAACAAGTATTGATACATGTATTGAAATATTTGATATCATTCCAAAAAGAAAACATAATAAAGAGATTTCGTTAAACATTAAAAAAATGGATTATATTGCATGTTTTTATGACGGATTTAGATGGGTAGGTATTACTGAAGATGTAAGTGAGCTTGATATTAAAGTCAGATTCATTCATCCACATGGACTAGGTAAAAACTTCTTTTGGCCAATGAGAAATGAAGAATGTTGGGTGCTCAATTCTGATGTTATATTCCTATTTCTACACCCACAATAATATCAGGTCATACGTACAACATATCTGATTTAGATTTGGTGAGTATAAGCAGTTGGTTATAAAAAAAAATTAAATACATTTAAAATGATTTTGTTGTAATTTTATTTACGTATTTTGCATTTAGAATTTGTCTTTCTTTTTTTAAAATCCTTGGATGGAAGGCTGAGAAGGGGGGGGGGGGGGTTTAAATAAATCCCACTGTCCACCATGTCAATGACTATATTAGTATTAATCTACTAAATAATATTATAAAGATTGTTAAAATTTTTTAAAAAACATTTCAATATTTTTGATTTTAAAATTTATGATTTTTAAAATCGTGAAAAGATCTTATTTTTGAGTGCTTACTTTGAAATAAGAGGTAAATAATGAAAAAAAAGTTTATGTTTTTAAATTGAATTTTAAATAATTATTTATTATTATATCATTTAATGCATTAAAAAAAATATATATATCCAGGGAGATGGGGGGGGGGGGGGCAGAGTTGGTCAGAAGCCCTCTGGCCCTCCCTTGGGCTACAATTATAAACGTCTTAAACTAGTCAATAAGTTACTCTATTTGATTTTTTATTCAAATAAATGTTTTAAAAAACATTTCAATTGCTTTCATTGCAAAATTTAAATTTTTCTAAAAAGACACAATTTTTAAACGCAAATTTTGATCAAGTATTAGAGAGACAATTGATGAATCTAATTTTTTTCAGTAGACCTAAGATAAAATAATGATATACAATTAAATTTTTTATTCAGGGTTTTGGACCACAGTCTTTATTTTACCTCCAAAAATCATGAATTTACAAATCAATAATTTTGAATAAAATTGAATAAACGAGGCATACCCTGAGACAATTGAGTCTCGAGGGTGCTCTTTTTGGATTTCGCAAGTAAAAATCTATTGGGGTACCAAATTTTAGGAAATTCCCCCGAGCCATTATAATGATACTATATGTCAAAGTTGAGTCAGCATTTTGAGCTGAGTCAGCATTATTTTAACTGACAATATCTCTAAAATCCATGTGTATTTTTAACTAAAATATTTGCAGTTATAATTTTTTTAATATGGACTGTAAGTAAGGTAAAAATGAACAAATTCTGAGATGTAAGGGTGTCATGGTATGGATGATTTCATATGGGATGATCCTAATGAAAGAAAAGATTGCTGCCACATCTTGTCAAACACTGGGTTTGACGCTGGGTTTGACACATCTAAGGGTTTGAAGGCTACAACTAAGGATTTTACCCTTAGATGTAGCAGGACTCCTTTGCGGCAGTAGGTTATAAGTTAGTTGATGTACATACTGAAATCCCTGCAGCTACTAATTTTAGTATGAACGTATAATGCTTAAGTGAATGTCTAATGCTGCATATATATATATATATATATATATATATATATATATATATATATATATATATATATATATATATATATATAATAATATAAATATATATATATATTAATATAAATATATATATATATATTAATATAAATATATATATATATATATATATATATATATAAATATAATAATATAAATATATATATATATATTAATATAAATATATATATATATATTAATATAAATATATATATATATATATATATATATATATAATAATAATAATATAAATATATATATATTAGTATAAATATATATATATATATATATATATATATTTATATATATATATATATATATATGTATATATATATATATATATATATATATATATATATATATATATATATATATATATATATATATATATATATATATATATATATATATATATATATATATTGTGTATATATACACACTTTGACTTTTTTTTTTGCAGGGAGTATTCAGATGAAGATGTTAAAGTAAAGGTTGCAAGGTATCTTCTATTTTTTAATTTTACTATCTTTTTATTTTGATTGTTTGGCTTAAATAATTTCTAATTTTATTGTAAGAGAACTGCACATAAAACTTATATATATTTCTATAATAAAGATTCATGGATAAATAATAACTTTTCTATTTGAATGAAGAGAAATTTTTGATTTTAAGTTGTTGTAAAAATTAATTATAATTTTTAGTTAGTAAGTATGATTTTTTCAAGTTTTATTTATATGTAAAAATGTAAATAAAAGTTTTTTATGTTTTTATTATTTTTGTTAAATGCTTTAAATAAACAAGACAAAAAAGGAGATTTTAATGTCACATACTGACTTGTAAATTATCTTTTTTTTTTACTCTAAATGGCTTTTCATTTATTGAGCCATAGTTCAAACTGTTTTGAATTAAATTAGTAGCTGTAGATAATAGTGAAAGTTTAAACGAGGGTGTAATTTTAAGAACAAATCTTTGGTTTTTCTTTAATAAAAATGTAACGGAAATAGATATCAAAAAAGTTTTTCCCCATTCAGTAACTAGGTTTTCTGATCAAAAATAAATAAAAAAAGTAGGTTTCGACTCATAAGTGATCTCTTGGGAATTTGATTAATAGATAGATGTGAGAAATTAATTGGTGTCATAAAAGTTTAAACGAGTTTATTAAAATTCAATTATTTGTTAAGTAATTAATTAATCCGTTGCGCAAATAGTTTTAAAACATAAACATAAGTAGATTGAGCGGTTTTCAGTCAATAAAAATCATCACAACATTATTCAACAGCTTCATATTCAATGAAAATCAACTGAAATCATTGCAAGTTTCAAACAATTTCAAATTGCGTGCAAATGGGGCGAAAACCAATTTCAAGTGAGATCAAATGGCAAATTATTGGTATGTCTAAGTCAAAAATTCACAGCAACGTTCAAATAGGCAAAAGACTTGGGGTTTCTGAATCTTGCGTACTAAAAACAGTCAAAACCTGGAAGTTTACCAAGGACGCCGTTGACATGCCGCGTTCCGGGAGACCATCGAAGCTTAGTGACCGTGAAAAAAGTAGCATATTCAGAAGCTGCAGAGAGAATCTTAGGCACAGCAACAAAAAGCTAGCACAAATCTTCAACGAGTCGAAAAATAAACATAATGTAAGCAGAGAGCTTGTTAGGCGAACATTGCTGCAAAAAGGTATTGGAACGTACATTGCAGCAAGAAGACCTATTTTATCAATCATGGACCGATGTAAACGGCGAATATGGTCAAAAGAAAGATTAAGCTGGACTGTTGAAGACTGGTTAAAAGTTATTTAGAGTGATGAAGCTAATTTTCAAGTTGTAAACCGCAAGGGAAGACTATATGTCAAAAGATTTGCAACGGAGAAATATTCAGAACGGTTTTTGCAACCACATCGACAAGACGGTGGAGGTTCCATTGGTATTTGGGGATGTTTTTCTCACAAAGGTATCGGTATGTGTGAGCTGTACGAAGTCCAAATAAATCAGTACATCTACAAAAATACATTGGAAACGTGTTTAATTCCATCAATCAGACAGTTGTATGGTAGAAGCAAGCAATTTATCTTTCAACAAGACAGGGCTCCAGCTCATACAGCTAAATCAATCAAAAAATATTTTTTGCAGAAAAAGATAAATGTGATCCCTTGGTGCCCTAGATCACCAGATCTCAACCCAATTGAAAATATTTGGTCTTGGATTGACAATCAACTTACTTATTACCAAATACAATCAACTTAGCACTTAAAGCAACTTTTTAATGAGTACTTGTTAAAGGTACCTCGAGAGATGAAATGTGCATGAAATTAGTTGAATCGATGCAGAAACGAGTTTACCTTTGCTATAAAACAAAGGCGGACATTTTTAATATTAACTTGGAATTTTATTTCCATTTTTTATTTGTTTGTAAAAGTTCGTTTAAACTTTTGCGCTACTCATTTCTCACATGTTTATGTTTGTAATTAACTTTTTTTAAATTTATATAAATCATTTCATAATAAGTTCACATTTATTCTGAACCAAATTACTTTTTATTTAACAAATAAAAAAAATTAAGTCGACATCATTTTTATTTATTTTTTTATTAAGAAAAAAATAAACCTACTTGATCAAAATTACACTCGTTTAAACTTTTGCGAATAGCTGTAATATCAACTCTGTCAAGAAAACTCTTAACTCTGTTAAGTTTTTGTACTCAAACACAGCATTTGTAGTTAAGTTCCCTATAGATTCATATCATGTCAAATCAGCAGACTTTTGTCACTCCCTGTTTTTGGTTTTGCTAGTTTTAATATATATTATAGGGTTGAAAAAGGTGATTATAAGTTTTATATGTTTTGTTTTTATTTTTTTTGTTATTTTGATTTTTCCTTCAGTTTATTACAATTATGGCTTGAATAATTGATTATATAATCCATTACCCGTTAAGAGAAGAATTTTAAAACACCTTAACTACGTAAATTGAATAATAAAAGCATATATTTTGGTAAACTTTGATGGTCAAAATGGTGATTTTACTTAATAAGTTTTTTTGGGTTTTTTACAATATAAAATCATATCAAAAATAGATATCAAACATCACTTTTCTGTATACATTTTTAATGTAAAGCTGCTGAGTTGGCATAAATTTCTTTTACAACTTATGAAAAAATAATGATTTCACCTGATAATTTTTTATCAAATAAAAAATTATCAGGTGAAATCATTATTTCACGACCTTGGGGAGGTGAATTGAAATTAAAAAAAAAAATTTTTTTTTTTTTTAAAAATGTAATTTTAAAAACTTAAAATTCTGACTAAAATGGAAAATGCTAAAACTGACATAAAAATGGCTAAAAGTTTTTTTTTTGAAAATGGTACACATCTAAGTAAAAAATTATTAGCCTATGGTATAAGTAAGTAACCCGGGCCCTGGTTCCAGCTAAAAATGAGACTATTTGCAAACCTGACCCTGGCAAAATTATAAGATTTAGCAGGGGTTGATAGCCAGGGCTAAAAAAAATTTTTAATACTTAATATATCATATTTTAATGCTTACATTTACTATTTATTAAATACTGGCATACATTTATAATTTTTAAAATCTATTTTACTTCCCACAAGATTGCAAGCGACCACTATTAAGTTATGAGTTACTTAAAAATGGAGAACAAGTTAAAATACTAGGAAATGTATAACTGAAGACTTAAAAAGTTGTATAAAAAAGGAAGATGGGTAAGAGTTATAAGGTTTTTTTATGCTCAAGGAAAAAAATATGAATTAATAAAAGTTTTTATAGCATGAAGGGACAGATACAGTAAAAGGATGCAACTTGTTAAATAAAAAGCCAAGTAAGAATGAGTTTTGGTTTATCATTATAGAGATGATAGGTGGTTTGAGCATTGACCATGATTGTATTTTTAGAAAAAAGAAAGAAATGCAATCTTACAATAATGGGAGAGCGGCTCAAACTTGGCAGATAAAACAGGTCTAATTACATTTACAATGTGCGTTTAGACTTTTTTTGAGAGTAAGAGGCTTGTTATTCGTCAATATAGGAATTCCAACAATATTGCAATATTTTTTTGCAGTAAGTAAATGAGTTTTGCTGTCTAACAAAAATTGTAGATTCTAAGTCCAGAATTTAAATTTATAAGCCACTTTAGATTTCATGAAGACCAACAATCTTGATAATAACGATGTAGATAAGAAGTAATACGGGAGCAAAGATAGAACTTTGTGGTACCCTTATTGCTATTTTAAATAAAGAAGAGGGTAGGCCTTCAAGAATAACTTTGCTACTGCAGTTAGAACGAAATAATTTAATAGCCTCAAAACCTTTATATAAAGAAACTAATAACCGAGTGAAGACTAATCGTAGGATAGTTAGAAAGGTGAAAGCGTTTTCTAGAGTTTTGAAAAATTGGAACCATTTATTTAGCACTTTTTATAAGTTTAGCAAAAATTGAAGAGAGTTCTAGAAAACACATTTTTATGACTTTGATGGAAATCTTGTCTGGAGTACAAACTGTAGATGTTTTAATTGTAAATTAACTTTAGCTTCGGAAGCCAGAGTGATTTCGATATTTAACAATGGGTAATCTGTTAAACTTTCAGGAAGAGTATGGCCATTATATTCAAGAGTCAAAATAGAGTAAGATTTCTTTGCAAGTAACTCTGCTTTATTCTGGGGAGAATTCAAAAGATCAGACCCATGAATTAGGGAATAAATGTTAGACTTACTTTTTTTAATGACGCTGTTGAAGACTAACCAAAAGTCTGTAGAACCTAACATATGAGATGAGATACAAGTTTAGTATACTGCAAATGATAAAGCCTAACATCAGACAGATCTTTTTTACATTGGCTTCTTGCAATTATAAAAGGACATTTGTTCTTAAGAGAAATGTTCTTGTAAAAAAGATTAAAAAAAAAATAATGTTTAATAAAGCTGCTAATCTGCTCAAGATGGTAAAAAATGTGGATTAGAGTGAGGCTTGAAAATTGAAGAGAATTAATAAAAGCTTCCATACTTTTAATCCATAAGGAATAAAAGCTTCCAAGATGCACTTTATGCATACATATTATGGATATAAAGATATATATTTTTGCTATTTATTTAGATGCTGGCATACAATATCCTTTTATTGTTATATAAACTTTGAAAACATAGTATTTATATGTTGTAGTATTTGTTGAAAGAGAAGGTGATCAGATGGATTTGTGGCAAGACAAGAAAATGAAGCATAATCTTAGACAGATTAGAAAAAACATTTTATCAAACAACCTTTGTTTGAAAAGATTAAAGTGATTTAGCTATCACCATGTAGAGAGATAGCATCTTCAGTAGAAAATGGTAGTGGTAAAAGTAAGAAAACTTGAAGAGAGTGCCTTACATATTGTATGAATGAGCTTTAGTTAAGAAAAAGAAATGCTATAGATTGTTTATATTAGAGAAACAGCATAAAAGAGGAAGGCTAAAGCCTGATGATGATCATGATAATGATCATCATC